GAAAATTGTATACGATTAACGAAAAAAAAAAAAAAAAAAATGTCATCTCCTATGAATCAATCGAATCTTGCTCGCTCGGCGTCATATTCTCATCTCCTTTCGGCGGAGATTTCACGAGCGTAACGCGCGTCGCGATTTGTAACGCGATCCAAAATTTATGGGTTATAATTTAGAAGACGGGGCCGTGGGAATCCTGAATAATGCGGCGGAAGATAAGTGTACGTGCGCGAGTTCGGTTACGCCGGCTAATTGGCCGTTCGAGAAGGAGAGCAAGCTTCCCGGCTCGGCGCGATAACGTTACAAGTCGGGAAGTAAGTTGGCGAGGAGAACGAGAAGAGAACGGTGGCAGAGAAACCGATGGCGGTGGCGCAGGGTGGCCGACAACGAGCCGGAGGAGAATCGTAAAGTAACTTCGAAGGAATTACGAGGGGACGAAAATTACTTTTCTCGCGGACCCCCTCCTCCCCCCATCGAGCCTCCAGAAGAGAGAAGAGGGCGAAGGAGGACTTTGAAAAATCCTTGCCTTCGAAATTACTTTCGCTCCCCACTTTTCATCCCGAGTGTCGAATCCTAACCTCTCGCCAATATTTTAATTGCGCCCGTGCAATTATTCGCGATTATTCGTTTTCTTCAAAGAATTTTTCGGATTTATATAACGAGACGAGGAGCGGTTGGAGAAGGGGGATCGTTACGAAAGGGGAATTAAACTTTTTGAAAAATAATTATAATTCTTTCTTTTTTTTCTTCGCTTCCTTTTTCTCGAATAGCGAATCGCGATATTTTAAATCGCGCCTATAACGTTTTCTTTCCAAATGATTCGAATCGGATCTAATAAGGAAAAAATTTCGAAAATTATTTCTTGCTTTTCGACGATCGGATGAACGGAATCACGAACTCTGGACGACGATGCTTTGATTGGGCGTACGTGATTAATTCGTAGTCAAAGAATTTGCAGATGTAGGTAGGTAAGATCACGAACGCAATTATTCGTGATTTGTTTCCAAAGAATTTGCAAGGATGGGATAAAGATAAATGGATGTTCACTTATTCTCGTTTATTATCTCGCGTACTCGTTGTACTTTTCGCGCGCATTCTTTCCCCACTCGTATTCGAGCAATCCCTGTTTTATCCTATTTTCGCACCTATTTTCGCTAGTCACATTGGCGAATACGTTGGTAAAGCCGGATGAAATAAACATCCTTTTTTACCTTTGCACGCGTCTACCCCTTTTCCACGGTTTGTACACGGTTAATTAGACTGCAACGCTTGCCGCTGCTAACGGATAACTTTTTTCTTCTTCCTTTTTTCTTTTTTCTACCTTCCAGTTTGTTAATTCTTGTTCCCCAAATATCATCTCTTAATTCCGCGCCCTCGTTACTTCCCTATACACCCATTCTCCTTAATTCTATCCAATAATATCTCGATAAAAAAAAGGGGAATCCTAAACTTTCCTTCCCAATTTTCTCCCCCTAAACTAAATAAATTAGATCTACTCTACTATACGTATATATATATATATAAAATAAGTGGTAACAAAACTACTTGGTTGGAGACCAAGAACCAAGTGATATACATCACCCGTATATTTATTTTTATTTTATATATATCCCCCAGAGAGATAACAGGAAATCAAAACGGGAGGAGGAACAACGATTTTCGTTCGAGTTGCTCGAAACAATCGTATTTATTTGCCGGAATTCACGAACGATAAACGTTCGAATTTCGCGCAGGGGATGCGAATTTCGCATATTCGCATACGAATGGAGTGGAACCGGGTAATTCAGCCGCGTTCTCCTTCTTCCGTTGGAACATCATTCTTTCCCCCATCCCTTCCCCCACCGCCCCGCAATTAGAATCCTTGAACCGA